TTATACTGCTCGATATAATCGTGCATAAGATACTTATAAAATCTAGACGCCGCAGCGTATACATCGTCCTGCTCCGCCGGACTCCCCAAAAGTTGCTTAACGATGGCCACGATAACAATTAAATTTACCATATACGATATATATTTCTATGTCACTAGAGAATACTGCAAGTTGACGTTCTCAAACCGTGGTTTGTTGAGGAAAAATTGTAATAACCTCTTTGCTGTATTGATATTGGTGTTAACCGAATCCCCAATCAAAAGGTGAATGAACCGTAATGTCTGCTATCGCCGAGTCGATGCTTGACATAAAACCTGTAACACCTCTTCTGTTACTAATACTAGAGTTTCTCCAATAGTTTTTCCGTTCTTGCGCTTAAGAGCCTGAAGCTTAGTTAGCCATTCTATTGTTCCCTGGTTGCGTCCAAATTTGAGAAATATGACGTTGTTTTGGATCTTTGAGGAACGTGCTCGGCAGTGTGGGCTGGCAATAGCTCTGTGAAAGATCGAAAGCGCATGCGAGCTTCGTTATGGATATGAGTGAGAAAAACAGGAGTCGAGCAACCGGATTGATTTGTACTCAAAGACGAGGCAAGCAAAGATACTTGTTTTCGAGTCATCGACTTGATGATTTGGTAGAACGCGTCCCTGGTGCGGGAAATATATATGTGCGAAATAGTACTCTGGTGCTTTATGCTAAAATCCTTGTAGAAGGTGGATAAACTTCTTGTAGATGCTACTGGGTCAGCTAACCTTACCCGCAAAAACCAAAGATGTTGAATTCGGCTATCTATTTTAGCAGCGCCCGCATTCCGCAGTTTTTTCTCACAAGATTGAAGGCATGTAAAGCAAAAACGCCAACGAAACATAAAACACATTATGAAAGAGAACTTTTAACGCAAGCTGGAAGATTTGCTTCTTCGGTTCTTTGAATTAGCATTCCCCCAAACATGTTGAAGTTATATATAACTGCAATGATTGGCTGAATTATGCAAATCACGAAATAATAGCCAAATTTCCAACGCGGTAATTCAAACCTGCTTCAAGTACGCAGCCCTTTGTTGATGTTGTTGCTTGGTGCAAATCCGGCCAGCGGGTCGCCCATTTCCACGAAGTTCAAAATTATGAGCCAGGGTGTTTATTAGCTCGCGTATTTTGGGTGACACAGTTCCGCTAGGCTTTTCGCCTTCTTGCTCCAACAAAGTCAAGAATTCTTGACAATGCATTCTTAATCTTCTAGCCACCTGAGGGAGGTTCGGCGCCGCCCGCTTTGGAGGCATGGCAAGTAGAGGTATAAGGGAACATAAATCTATTCGCTCGGTGCTTGGACACAAAGGCCGCCGAAAGATAACATTTTTTTTCTATAGGAGGTCGCCCATATTTTCCACCTAAGAAGGAGAGAGAGAGAAAAAGAGAAAAAAAAAGAAAGAAAGAGAGAAACTCGAAATAGGTGAAAATAATTTTAGAAATAATTGAAATTGAAAAAAAAATAGAACGAATAGATTAATTTTTTGAGCTTGGAAAGGGGAAATGCGGCATGCGATGCATAGAAATAGGTTATATTTATAAACCGATTTATAAAAATTAATATAAATAAATAGAAAGAAACCAATTTTTTTATGTTTATATTTTTTTGTTTTTACCGAATTTTCGGTAATATGATTCTTAGGTTTCCGGACGTTATGCTTGCAAATTTCTATAGAATTTAGTGGTTTTGCCGAATATTTCGTGTCGTATTTTTGTCTGTTTTTATATCTTTATTTCTAGAAATTTGTATTTGTTTATTTTATAATTTATATTTTTTGTTTGTATTTGTTTTTTGTGTTTATGTTTTTTTTGTTTTGGTTTATTCTTATTTATTTATATATATATTTCTAGGTCGTGCGTGCCGCGGAGAAAAACAAGCACTATAATTCGGCCGGAGCACCGCTACAACGGCTTATTAATACACGAAAAATGCGATCTCGAGATTATAACGTTTTGTAAGATAATTCCCCAATAGTATGTTAAAACAATTTTAAATCTGAAAATTAAATATTAAATATTAATATAAAATTTATATTTAATAAAATAAATTATATTATATCGTAATTTTCATCAATAAAAAACTAATATATATAAATTAAATTTAATATTTTCATATATAATAACATTAAATGTATAATTATCATCTATCACCAAAAAACACTATACAACAACTACAAACAACTAAATAAATTTGATACATAAATTCAATAATCTATTAAATAAAAAACCATTTCCTTACTTCAATTTCAATTTATTTCATATAATATATTTTTAATATATATATATAATTATATATAGTTATATAAACTATTCGAATTAAAATTCAAATACCACAAGATAAAAACACATATTTACAAAATTAATAATTTACTAAATTTCATTCCAAAAAAATAATAAAAATAAACACAAAAATATACTACAAACACACCACACCTACACAAATATATTTCCAATTATTTAAACATATAATATATATTCTAAATTATCAACATATATATTATAATCCAATATAAATTTGTATATTTTATACATACCGATATAATGATTTTATAATGTATTATAATATTATTTAAATAATATATATATATAATAAAATATATTTAGGTAATATATATTATTTTAATTTTATATAATTTATAAGAAATTTTGGAATATTGATTATAATATATTTGTCGAAATTAGATTTATATCCATTAAATTATATATAATTCTTATTTGATCTTTGATTATTTAATTAAATATATATTTTATTTATTTTATTGAATATATATATTTAAATATTTATCCGGGAAATTTATTTATTTATTATATACAATTAATATCGTAAATCAAATATGTTTGTGTTAATTACATTATCTCTGGGATTTATATTCCTTTCAAACCATTAGACGTCACGACCATTATATCTTTTAACCCGCCGGATTTCCCTATCACACGCTTTTACATATTTCCTCGCATGCATTCATTCTTTGTTCCAAATTGCCTTCAATATGGAAATTTCTTCTCAATTTGCATATCAAAAAAATATCTTCTAAATTATTTATAAAATATTTTTCTTATATAAATAATATATTAATATCTTTTTAAACCAAAAAACATATATATTAATATATTTAAATATAATTTTAATTTGTATTGGTTTGATTAATATAAATTATACCAAATATAAATATAATATATTTAATTCATTAAAATCAAATATTAATTGTCAAATATCCAATATCTTAATTATATCCTATTTCAAATTTTCCTATATTTCAAATATATATTCATTATTATATTCATTATTATATTCATTATTATATTCATTATATGTTCAATAAATAAAAAATTGATTTTGACATATATATAAATATATTACTAATTTAATTTCTCAAAAATAATAATATTCTATCTATATAAAATGGTTTAATTTAATATAATGTATTTATTTTATAATTTATATATTTTAAAATTAAAACTAGTATTTATTTAACATTATTATATTATATTAATAAATATATTTTATAATGTTTAATTTAAAGAAAACAATATATATATTATAATATAGTATTTATATTTATAAAATATAATAATTAATAAAATGATAAGACTAGGGAGGGTTTATAATATTTTCGGATAGAATAATAAAGAATATATATATTATAATAATTAATAATTATATTATTATAAAGTATGGTATAAATTAATATATTTTATATAATATATATATAAATTTAAGAAATTATATAAATAATATATTTAATTTAATATTTTATGTATTTTTTATATATAATAAATATTAAATTTGTTTTATGATGTTTATTATTTTTTGACATTTATATAATTTATTAATTTATATTAATTTATATTTATTAATTTATAATAATTAATAATTTAATATATATTATAATAATATAATTAAATATATTAAATTTAATAAATTATAATTTAATACAAATTATAATATGTCCAGCCTTACTTAAAATTAAACAACCGGAGCTAAATCAAACAACTATACACAACTACTTCTACCAAAAAATTAGCAATCTGTAATATAATAAACAATTCAACCCAAATCTTCAAATCGAAAATATTTGAAAATTTTACACACAAAACAAAATTGAAAAATACAATTCTCACCCATAATCCAACACCACTTTAAAAACGGAAATTATATCACCCCGCTCCGAAAACAAAACACAAACCAAACACACAAAAAAGACCAAAAATCTCGATCCAAAAAACATAAATTCCTCATAATTCAAAAGAAAACAACTCCATTAAATATAAACTAAAAACAATAATCATAAAAGACACCATCATACACAAGAAATAATCGAAACACTCATCAAAAACAATAGATAAAACCAAAAAACCAATTCAATTAAAATTCGAATAATTATATATAAATAACCCAATTTTATTATATTATTAATTCTTCAAACAAATAAAATACATAAAAATCCATCCCAATTCAAATCATAAAACAAATAATTATCTTACCTTAATTAAACATATCCATAAAAATATAATAAACTTAATATACATATATAAAATATATCCATTCATTATTTTTTCTAATATATATATATATATATTAATATATTTTGTAATATCCATTTATATCCCAATACTTTATATTATTATTATTATTATTGTATTAATGTAATATATTTCAACAATTATTTTTCGTTATCATAATTAATTGTCAATCATCAATTTGGGAATGCTTGATTATATTGATGTGTTTCCCAATAAGCCCCTCCTCTGAATTCTTGTGTCCAGTCTATGCCTTCAGGCAGTCTGGAATTGAATTGGCACGTAAATTGCAGGCATCATCAAGCTGAGTCAGGGATCAATCTGTAGGTGGAACTCGCAGTGCGTCTTGACGCCAGTGCGTGATTCAGAACTGCCACTCATCACATAATAAGCTGCTCAGCTTTGCAGTGTCCCCAAACCCATGCTGAACTAGGCCGCACCATGTATGCCTTGCTACCTCCTTCCGGCCACTTCGCGCAGTCGTCCGGCCTTGGACGAGGCAGCGAAACTAATTGGACGAGTTCTGATGATATGTGAAACTAAATGATCGATGGCTTTTCCTTCACAGCTTTCTGAGTGAGCATGACTAATTGTTTGCCAAGGGGATGCTCTGAGGGTAGCAAGATACAAGTGAACACGCGCCAAGCTTCCGACTAATGAAAATTCGCAGTGCGTGCGAGCGTACCCGCATTTGCAAACAAGGATCGGACTTGTGAGCATGAGCTTTGAACTTCGATCTAACATGTCGCCATCTTGCGCACACTGTTTTGGTGTGCCAAGCGCGAAGCAGGGCAGAGCTTCAACACTTGCAGGAACAAAAACATGGCTCTCTACATACAAGAACATGTTGGCCTGCCTACACGTGCTCAGGGTATCGCTGTTGTAGTTGTGCTTGTGGTGGTCGTGCTTTGGCGGTTGTGGTTGTCGTGGTGGCTGTTGTGTTGGTTGTGGGTTGTGGCAGTGGTTGGTTGTGGTAGTGGTTGGTGGTTGTTGTGGTTGTTGCTGTCGTTATCGTGGTCGCTATCGTCAACAAAACCCAGGTGAAACACAAAGACCTTCACATACAGGATTTGCCTACGGCTCAAGTGCCTTGGTACAACCATTCCGAAGTGGCGGCATTGTGTATTGTGTATAATTGGGCTCTCAGTGGTTAGCATGACCATGGCAACAGAAGTCTCTCTCTTTTTTGTGCTACTGAGAAGTGGTGGGATGCAGTTCGCATATGTTGCACCAAAAACAAGTCATAGAAACGGGAATCGTGTTTGCCATCAGAAACTGGGATGGCCTTGGCGTATCCTTGGAAAAGAAACTTGCTGTCCTTGAAAAGGTTCGATGGCCACAAACTGGACGTTGCGTGGGTGCCGGTAAAATAAGCTTTTCTTTCGGCATACCTTCAACACAAAACAGTCACACACATCTCCCTTGAAGAAACAAAACACATAAAAGCGCACATACAAATAACAAAGCATTAGACCAAACTGTTCCTCTTCAAACAAACTCATGAAAACCGCTTCTCTTTTCACACATAGAATATAAGGAACCCATTTCCCCGGAAGCAAAGCAACAACCAACAGGCAGAACAAAGGTGGGCGTGCCCATCTGAGTGCCCAACCCGGCGCGTGGACAAGACCAGCGTGGCACGCAGCGCCGGGCTCAAAGCGGTGGCGCCCAAATCGGCCTGCGAGATGAACAACAGCCATCCCTTCCTATAAGCCGCCTGGTGCAGGAGTTGTCCAGTATCTGTCCGCGGCAACCCGCTCAAGAGCACAGCCCTACGGGCTAGTTGCGAAGCTTACAAAACGCAGGAAACACCACGAGTCGAACCGTAGGGCTTGCCCAAGCATGAATCACCAAGCACACACCATGGACCTCGAATCATAAACGATGAGTCACGACTCGCGCGCAAACAAAAGGGACCGGATTGTAGAAAGCAAACAAATCACTTCAGAGATAAGTGCTGCGCAACAGGTTTGCCATGCGAACATAATTCCGACACAAACAACATCATGTGGACTGTGCAAAGAGTTTCTATTCAAACATATGTCAACCAAATTGCCAGGGTAGAGACCAATTTTCCCGCCGCTACGATAAGGCGCTCGTACATTTATTACTGTAGTACCTGAACATTATAGGATTTGTTTCCAGATCTGTAAAAACAGGAGCAAATCGATGTATTGGTAAAGGTTCATTACTTAAAGTTTTAGATCGAAGCCTTCCCTACAAAATGTGCCCTACAAACTTGCCAAAGGTCCTCGAGATTAAACATGAAATTTGTGAAGGACACCTGCAACATTGCAAGGTTTTTCTGTCTTTTCAAGCAGCCGGGTGTAAAAAGGCTGAGCTGTTGTCAAGCTTCTGAGCCACGCGAATTGGTAGCTGGGCTGACGTGTTCGTAGACAGCTTTGGCGGTTGGTTTGTCCACCCAAGTAAGCTGTAATTTGATTGCTCCATGTTCCGCGAGATGCTTATTTGGAACCTTGCTCAGCCTGAAAAAGGGGAAGGAGCATACCATACGGCAACTCTCCAAAAAGCCTGCGAATGAAGGTGGTGAGTGCGTTTTGCACACGGACCTGAACAGCTCTTCTCAGCTTTGGTTCCTGTGATCAGCAGGGTGCAGCAATATTTGCATGTAGCCCACAATGTTGACGCTCCTTCCAATTTTCTCGACGTGTCACTATGGCCTGAATTCCTGTTGCGGGAACCTCTGGCAATCCGGCTTTCCTCTTTGCAAGAATAGGCAGGCCACTGTAGGCCTGTTGTCCTTGGGTTGTTCCTTGTGGGGTGAATTCGGGTGAATCGTGGTGACTCCATGTATATATACATACATATATATATATATGACAGTTGTCATATCTATATATGACAGTATATGACAGTTGTCTGAAATTCCTTGTTCCGGAAGCCGCCCTCTTCGGGAGAAAGCAATAACTTTCGCGGACCCCATCGCGGAACTTTCGCGGGGCTGTTTTCAGAACATTCATCACACAAGTAGTAAGCGAAGTACACTTTCGCAGCCCCAGCTCGAAAGTCGCAGCTCTTCAGTGCGAAAGAAGTACTAAAAGTAAACTTCCGCAGCTCGGCTTGAATACGAAAGTAGTACACGAACTAAACTTCCTCAGCCTCGAAAGTCTAAACATTTCAATTTAAAGCAGTGCACAAAGTGAACTTCCGCAGCCCCAGCTCGAAAGTCGCAACCTTTCGATTTCCAAAGTAGCACGCGAAGCGCGCGTCCGCAGCTCCAGCTCACAAGCCGTGAGCTACGCGCGAGAGGACCCGTTGGCCTCATGTCCGGAAACCGGCGGGGAGGTCCGTCGACTTTCGCAAAACTTTCGCGGATCTTACGCCAAACATTCGCAAAAAATCCGGCTGGAAGTTGCGCTCAACTTGCCCCGACAGCTTCCCTCCGGCTGCGCATTCTCCGACCTAACTTTAGGCAACGGGCATTCTGCGCGCACCGGTAAATACACATGGTTCATCACTCCAGCTTCCATTTAGCAAGCCACACAAAACTTTCGCGGCAAAAAATAACTTTCGCGACCCCCTTCGCAGAACTTTCGCGAAGGTCAACGCTAAGACCAAAAGGTCTTGCCCTTCATAGCTCAATGCAAGGACTTTTCGGACGACTCTCATATATATATATACATATATATGGTACCCCCCCCAAAAAACCAAGGTTTTGTCTGAAAACACTGGTGTTTGCGGTGTTTTCTGACAAAAACCTGCATCTGCCAGAACACTCATTGTTCAAGCCATTTTCCGCAACTGCAAATACACTGCAACCCAGCACTATGCTTGCATAAGGGCATCTCTTCAAGGAAGCTCTTTGGACACTGAAAAAAACTAAAAAAACTGAAACAACTGAAAAAAAACAACTGAAAAACTGAAAACGCGGGTTTTCAGTTTTTTAGTTTTTCAAATTTTTCCCAAGTTTCCTTGGCATCTGAGAACCAAGTCCATATTTGAAGCTGTCTGGCTCCAGCGCTTCCTTACTCCTCTTCTGCCCTTTGTTCTGACCCTGTCCTAGCATGGCCAAGCAGCAGCCTGAGGATATATGACCTTTGATGACCTCAAGAACGCATGCGACGCTTTCGTATTTCTGAGTATTTTTTATGGTATTGCCCTGGTGACTTGTCAGACAAATTGAGCCTCGTATTTCCTCAGCATTCTCCTAGCATTCTCCTAATATGCTCCTTTAGTATTCCCCCAGTCTTCCTTGTCTGTGTACACCTTTAATATTGCCCAAGTCTTTCTTGAGTATTTCCCTAGTATTGCCATGGTATGCCCCGAGTATTTCCTAGTACGGCAAGGGTAATACTAGGGGAATACCTTCAGTATTGCCCTAGTATTCCTTGAATATTCTCTTGGTATACCCCTAGTAGTCTCTCAGCATTTTCATAGTATTCTCCGAGTGTTCACCTTTAATATTGCCCTAGTTTCCCTGAGTATTTCCTTAGTATTGCCCTACGGTTGCTCTAGTATTCCCCTATTATTGAACTAGTATTCAGTTGGTTTAGTGGTCTCTTAATATACCCCTAGTAATTCCTCACTACCCCATAGTATTCCCTTGCTATTTCCCCTAGTAACGGGATGGAATTACTAGGGGAATACCTTGAGTATTGCCCTGGTATTCCTTAAGTATTCTGTTGGTATACCCCTAGTTTTCTCTCAGTATTCTCCTAGAAATCTTCCGGTATTCACTTATAGTATTTTCCTAGTACTTCCCTAGTAGTGCCCTAGTATTGCCCTAGTCAGGAAGCCTGAGAGAAGTCAGACAGATTGAGCTTGAGAGTATACCCCTAGTATTCCCTCAGTCTTCCCGCGTACTATCCTAGTACTCACCTTTAATATTGCCCTAGTATTCCCTGAGTATGCACCTAGTATTGCCCAAGCATTCCCCTAGTATTGCGCTAGTATTCCTTTAGTATTCTCTTGGTATACCCCTAGCTAGTGTTCCCTAAATATTTCACTAGTAAAGGACGGGGAATATTAGGGGAATACCTTCAGTATTATCTAACTAACTAGGCAGCTACATAGATAACTAACTGATTCGCCAATTAACTAGCTAACTGGCTTCAGAGCTCATTCATTACAACTATTTAACTGACTAATTAGCTGACTTGCTGACTGTTGTTTGACTAACTAATTGAACTTGCCTTGAACTTGAAAAATATGCGTTTCGCAGAGGCGAAAATACACATGTTTCTCAAAAGTAGCACATTTCCCAGTGATTTTTGCAATTGTCCAGGTTCAAAACCTGGGTTTGGGGGGGGGTGCGTATATATATATATATAGTATCCAATTGTCTAGCGATGTGTCAAGCAGTCACACTAAATGGGTATGTGCTTTTTTGACGTGGCCGTGCCGGGAAGTTGGTATAAGGGGTATGAATCGCAGGTATGGTTCGGGGTATGGCTCGGGGGTATGATTCGGGGTATGGCTCGCGCGCCTCTGAACTCTTGCTTTGTGGCTTTGGACACTGCAAAGCTTCCGTGAGCTGGCAACTGGATAGCCGTGAGAATTTGGACCGCTTAGTTGCTACAAGCCAGCCTGGGGCGCTTGTGAGTGGCCTGAACTAGACAGCTGCCACTCTGCGTGAGTGGGTGTGCGAAAGCTGCTGCGCCAGGTGGAAGGCCATTGCCGTGCTCACAGACCCAAGCAAGCGTTGCTCCCAGTCAGGTCCGCCACCCGCACCAGTCACGAACCAGCGTAAGGGCAAGACCGCGTAACATCCTCAAACGGCAGCCTCGCAGAGGCTAGTGGGCCTCTCACAGGTGGTGTACCGTGTTTCCCTGTCTCTGGCTTGCCCTTGGGGGGTTCCTGAGTGTGGATTTCTACGCAACGGAACCGCTGCGCAAAACTGACACAGTGGTAGAGTGTGGTAGGCTCACGTTGCCGCGTCACTTTTATTTCACACAGTCGAGCTTCAAGTGGACCTGGGCGGCGTCGTTCTGCAGTCCCCCCCTTTGTTTGCCTAGCTTCTGCAGATCTGGTCCCTGTAGCTTCACAATTGCGCCCAGAGCGCAAGAGGCTCTTGGTTGCAGATGCCTGCGAAAGGGTATGACTCGGGGTATGAGTCGGGTATGAATCGGGGGTATGAATCGCGGGGAAGATTTTTGCTAACGGAAAAAACGCAAAGCGAGCATGGCCAAGAAAGCTTGCAATCATGCGGGGCTGCTGCAAGCGGCAGCACCCTTGCACTTGGAACAGGCCCGCGCCATGTGAAGCTATGAAGCAGAGCGTGTTAACCCGCGCAAAGTCAGCAAAGGCTTGGTTAGTGGTCAAACTCTCAACCACGTAGCAGCAGGGGCGAGATGTCCGTCACAGAGTTTTCAAGCCTTCTTGGTCATTTTTCGACCCGCGCCGGAGCGGCACTACACGTACCAAGGCCGAGCGCGCAAGTCCACCGCTTGACGCAGCAGCGAAAGCGCACTTGGGATAAACAGCAAGCAGCTCGTGCGAGCCTGCGCGCTTTTGAGATGCAATTACGCGTGAGTCGCCATACAAACTGTCAGCTGGCGCGTGACGAACTGTGAGCTAACCTGTAGCTTTTACCCTAAACGCCAGCTGCTTGGGGACAGACAGTTTATTGCGTTGCACGCAGGACAGGCCCTACTTGCATACCCTTAGCTAAGGCCTTCAAGCAGGCTTGCAAGGTCAGCAGTTCTTGAACTCCTTTTTGGATTTTTTCGGGGGTATGAATCGGGGCATGAATCGGGGGGTGATTCGGGGTATGATTCGGGGGTATGGCTCGCCCAAGCTCCACCTCCCACGAAGACTAAAGAACTGACACGGTAAAAAAAACACAGACCCAAATGGTGCGGTGAGCCCGCAGGCCTGGTGAGCTGAGCATTCGATGACCCGTTGAGCCTCAGCTTCTCGCCATGGGATTTGATCAACTTCTGGGAGACGGAGACCGGTGAACACTGCTGGTTAGGGGGTTAGGGGGTTAGGGGTCTAGGGGGTTAGGGGGTTACCTTTTGAGTTCGGGCAATGTCACTTGCGAATCGAAGGCAATCGAAGGGTTCATTCGCACACCTTTTGGCCTGTGACACTTGGAAGCTGACCATTTCTGTTGTGGGTCCCTGCTGAAGCGTGCCCTCCGGAAGAAAGAGTAAATGCTCATGGATAATCACAACTTGAATTTGCACAATCCAAGCCCCTTTCCAAACAGTCCTTCGGGACCCGCAGCTTGCTTTGTCGGGTGAGTGACCAACTGCACCCTCAGACTTTTCTGAATGCTCAGACTCATAAACATTTGCCACTGGACTTGTCAACCATGGTTGCCCTTTCTTGAAACCAGTCCTCTACGGTCCTCTATGGGGTTTATCAAGGGCGTCCAACTGACTTCAATTTTGCCCGCCCCGTCTCGGAGAGGACTCAGCATCACACCTTGGCATCTTTGGGGCGCAGGTCAGCGCTCGGCCTTGGCTGAAGTGTGAAAAGTGAGCTGCCAAAGGTGGGCTTTTTTTCTCTCAGGAGGAAACACCTCGAGTCATCAAACTATCCATCCCTTCACCTGCCCAAGTATGGTTCACTTGGGTTACCACTCCAATCCTCATGCTTCCAACTTTCAGCCTTAAGAGACACAGCCCCCGTTTTGCCCAACTGAAGCGCTCGGCAAATCGTAGCCAGCGCACAGCTCGCAGCTCCCGAGCCTCGTTATCGCCGGCGGCCGAAACGAAAACGAGGAATCCGTCCGGATCTGAGTGCACAGCTCTCGCGCCTCCTCTTCGCCTACGCACGGGCAGCTGGCTTGAGCAAACTGCCGGGCGCCAGGCCTGTCTTGATCCCAAAGATCGAGAAGCGAAGCCGGTGGCTGGGGGGAGGCTCTGGCGTCTCGGACAAGGCCAAGGACCTGGCAAAAAAATTGTCGCTTCACCGGTGCGAGGCCCAGATTGGCCGATTCAGGAGCTGACACATCTCGAGCAGATAGACCATCTGGGCCGTCCTGGGCATCGGGCATCCGGCTCTCTCGCAGTAGTCCAAGCTGAGGATGTGGCCAGCGTGAAGATGATCATCCACTTGGGTTGCATCTCCTGCAGGCAGCTTTGCGCAAGTCAAGAGGATCCGGTCTGGCGCAACCAGTCCATGATGTTGGGCTTTGACAAGCACATGTAGCCCATGCGCCAGGAAACTCGCCTGGTCGGACGGTGAAGCCACTGCAATCGAACCAGGCTTGCACACGGCTCTTGAACTTGTTGCAAGCGGGGGTTCGACCCCCAACCACATGTCCGCTCGTGACAATGCATCAGTCACAAGTCGAAATCCAAAACCCCAACGCACACCTCATCAAGAGAGCAGTGTTCGACTGGAAACACTTACACATCCGGGCCTGGACTTTAAGTCTCTGCCGCAGAAAGACACGCCCATCTGGAATTGGGAGTATGACTTCCGCAGCTCCTGAGGCTGGTAAGCAACAAGTAGCCATGCCCAAAGGATGGTCGACAGACCTTTGTCGCCATGACGGTCAGCTTCTCAATGGTCACCTAGCAACGAGCAAAGCAAACCGCAACAACTCTGACACTGTTTGGCTGACTGCGGCAACACGACGCGTCCTCGCGCTTTCTCAAAAGCCGCAAGAGCTAAACATGCGGAAGACTTAACCTGCATTTCACGGATCCGATGGTTTCCACTCGTAGAGCGCAGGCCCCTTTCAAGGGCCCCAAATGGAAGCAAACCGAGCCAGCAACCTGGAAGCCCAGCAGCATCGGCCAATGGAGCTGGTCGCCCGGCGCAGGCTCCAGCCACTTCTTCAGCTGGTCCTGGCGAATCCGAGGCGCTTCCCGAACCGGCGAGGTCTGAAGGACCCGAACTGGTGGACACTTTTTGGTGGGGCTTGCATGGGTTTGCGATTGAAGTTCATGGTCTAAGATGAAAACAATGCTAGATCCGGCACGAGGTGTTGTTCTTGGAGAAGCTGAGGGCAAAGATCATATTGTTCAAATGCCGCGCCTTTGAGCTTGAAGCCGCAAACCCCTAGCAGCAAGATCTGCGCGCTTTCGCTCTCCGAGTGTCTTGAACAGAGTTCGTTTTATCTGTTCACCTGGCAATTCTGATCCATGCCAAATTCAGGATCCGATCAGTTCTGGAAGCTTGACAGATTTGGAGGGTCCTGGCTCTTTTGCGACCGAACACGCCACACTGCCACGTTGCGTCCTGCTGCCGCGCGCTCGGAAGTGTCTTCATCTCAGCCTGCACACATCCGGAAGGTAGGGTTTCAACCGGCCACCCGGAAGGCCCCTTTGACCCTGCAGCGTGGGGCCTCCAGGACACGCACCAGCCTCAGGGGCAGACATGTCAACGCCTGCGGTGTGTTGCTTTCGACACAGAGTTCCCTTTTGGTTTTGATGGGCATCAGGTGGCACCCACAAGTCCGCGGTTTGGTAGTGACATGCGGTGGTCCCTACCTACTTCCAAAAGTAGCTTTTCCATGAACACGGAATCATTTTGTCTTCGTGGCGAGATTACCCTGGTTTCCATTCAACACATACCTTCGTTTGCCCTCAGAACCATCCAACATGACAATTCCCAAGCCGACCACACGCACAGTCCATGCTTATGAATTCAAATTGGGAATCCTTTTGCGAATCATTTTACATTGACATTATACATCTTAGATTTCCACCAACCATTTTTCAGTGCTCCCACTCAAAATCACCCAAATAACAATATACTACTAATAATAACAACATAAACAAGAAACCAAGAAAGCAAAACAAAACAGCGCCAAGGTGCATCAGCTCCCAACATCCGAAGCTTCCCGAGCCATCGGCCGGAAGAGCGCGCAGGTCCCGTCGGGGAACTCTCTCTCCAAGCGCTGGGCCACCTGCGAGAGTTTTTTGTGCCGTGGCTCTGGGTCAAAATAGTGTTCCCCCAAAATGGCTCTGGTAAGTGGAAACATGGACTAAACCCTGCGGTTGTTTGGTGGCTTCATTTTGACCCATACCCACATCTCTCCTTGTGGGGGAAGGAAAGAAGCCGCCCGTCACAAGAACTTGCTGGTGCGATAGGTAGGGAATGAGGGAATGAGGGAATGAGCCCAGTCCCGGTAAAGGAAACCACCTGTTGGATGGCATATAGGGGTCAGTCCCTCATTCCCTGCTGGCGTCAGTCCCTCATTCCCTGCTGGGCACCAGCAAGAGAAAGGTCATTGAAAAATCACCCCCCCCCCCCGGCTGAAGAAAGGACCGCATGAGTGGGACGCTTCGAGGTGGAATCCTTTTCGAGTTTTTGAAAACCATGGGAAGGCTACCCCTAAAAAGTGACAGCACGCAATGTCACCTTCGGCTCTCAAACATTGTGGCACCCATTCTCGACTGACAAACGGGTGTTTCTCAACATGGGTCAAATTGGCGCGTTCCACTATGTCTTTTCCTCTGACAGCGTCCGCAAAAGGGAGCCTCTCATCTGGTTGACAAATCTACATCTGCAGCGCAATGCTGTCTGCAAAGTCATCTGATCTCTGCGCCTGCGCCAATCTGGTGAGCCCCAGCGCGTCTATATCCACGGGGCAAGGCCTGAGAAGGAATGACCTTTCCCAAACGTGAACAGCTTGAGGTGGGCGAGGAGAAGAATCCCGATGATGGTTGTCTCAAAGGGAGGTGCAAACATATGCCAGCATATATTTCGCATGCGTATATGTCTTGGCGAGTTTTTGGGCCCAAGCGAAAAAAAAAAAAAAAAAAAAAAAAAAAACACGTTAAGGACATCTTCAAATTCCACGTACTCTATTTAGGCAATAATCAAAATTTATGAACACTGTGTAAATTTAGCACAGTGACAGTGGGAATAGTTGCTGAACTGCTTGCGGAAAACTGCTTCCGTGGAAGCCCTGACAATAATCATCCTTCTTCGTCTACGTGGTTGGTCTGTGCGACATGTTCCTCCGCCTCTTCACGCTGTTGCATTGTTTTTTCCTTTGTCCACTTCAAGAACTAGATGACTTTCACCAGGCCCTTGTGTTTCAGCATGGCGATTGGTCGGGCTCGGGTGAAACTTGTGTTGATACCTTTTGTTTGACGAAAAACTTGGTGTTCGTTTGCTTTCGCAGGTCTTGTTACGTTCAGTTCCAGCAGACAGCATCGATGCGTTCGTGCAGCACACTGTATCTTTGGAGATCAGGGGGTGCCACGCATTTTCTGCTTTGGGCCCAGCATTGGGATGGCTTCGTTGCTTTTGGCAGTGGAAGATGCTGACAAAGGCGTGCTCTTCGCTGCAGAAGCCCTTGCTGAAGGGGGTGAGTCGCGCCCGCAAGGTTTGTACACCGCTTACTACATTTCCCAAGTCCAAGTTAGGGGCCTTTGCTCACCGCACTTTGAAAAAGTGCGCTGAGAAAAACCTGGCGCGTGAAACTCGCCAGTCCTTCAGCGTTGCTGCTGGAGATAATAAGGCGGAAGGTCGCCTGGGTGCTGTGAAAGGCAACATGCGGCGACTTGGAGTGCTTGGCCGCTGGAATGGCTCTTCAAAGAAGAAGCGGGTCCAGGTTCTTGCTTCGGCAGCTTTGCATAGGATGCCAGGCATAAGAACCATCTTGAAGGCTTGTAAACAGTACAGATTGGCGCTGTCTCGGGGGCAAGTTAAGCTTCCCCCGCGTGACAGCTTCTCACCTGACGCACTGCCGTGGCTGGACGCGTGATAAATGATCATTGCGGCCGACGGCAAACCGTCCGTCTTCGTCATATACATATATATATATATATATATATATGTATCCGCAATACGTGTAAATATATACATCTTTGCAAACGCATTGCGTGCACGCCCATAGATTGGCACCGTAAAATTAGTTCCAAAGGATTCAGGATCCCTATGAAGCTCAGTGACCTATTTCGACCATGGCTCGCTTTGAAGCGCTAAGTCAAGAGCTTCTCCCGAAGCACCAGCTTGGTCACGTCGCTGTCTGGTAGCGGAGGAGGGGGCACCTAACATGGCGAACCTAGCGATCAATCTGCGACGTGAACTGAAATCAATATCTGGGCTCCACCAGGTGCTGACCCGTATACACATGTCCCATGCAAGTACCAGTCTCAGCTATCTGTCGATCTGTCTCCCTTAGAGCAGGGCAGGTACCAGCGCTGCACTTCCGGCAGCAGCACCGCTGCGGGCTAAGACTTCAAAACGCTGACAGAACCTGAGTCTGTCTTTGTCTGAGTCAGCCAAAGCCGCCAAATTGAGCTTTCGACTCTGCAGCATCGACACATCCGCCACCTGGGCGTTTGTTCTGCCCAGCTGTGCAGGGATGAGATTCTCAGCGAGCTTCAGACTCATTGGCCGCCCCAGGCGAAGCAAGTTTTCCGCCACGCGCGCGTCCTGGTCCATTCGAGCCGCTTGCTCACAAAGGGGGGTACCCCTTTTTGGGGTGGTTTTAAAGGGAAACCAAAAGGAAAAACAGAAACACTTTGCAAGATCCCCCCTAAAACACGCAAGCCTAAACGGGGAGCGCAAAGGGGGAAGGCCTGCAAAAATCCCTTTGCCATCTTGATCGTCCATGGAAGAAGAAAGAACAGCTCTTGGTGTAGAAAACTTGGTGTAGAGAATTCTGTTATTCACCAGTGGTCATCCCAATCGCACAAATCTACCAACCAGCAAAGGATCTCACATCAATGAAACTGCAGCCACTCGGCAGCAGGGGTTGCCACTTAAACCTGTTTTGCGGAGAATCAAGGGACCCCCAAAAGTGGACACCCTCTTTAAGTGCACCCCAATGCTTCTATCTGAATAGATCCAATCTCCTCTGGTCGCAGTGGCTTTGGAAGGTACTGCTGCAACTGCTCCAGCAGGTGATCAGCCTACGGGATCCCCCCTTCCCCGAGTCATTTCCTTAGACACCCACCAAAACTTGCTGGTGCTCAGGTTTGGAATGAGACATGGAATGACCCTTGCAAACCATCCAACTGGTGGTTTCCCTTAAGGGGACTGCATTCCCTCATTCCCCACTGAGCACCGGCAAGAAAATGCTTCGCTGACCTCAGTTCATCTCAGGCACGCGCTCGCAGCACCTGAGAGGAGCATGGGCTCTCGTTCTTGGTTGACGTTCATGGAAATCCACCCCCCGCACTGACCCAGTGCGAAAAAACGAAGTTCAGGAAGGCAGGAGGCCACTGGAGACATGTCTGGGCTTTCTTTACCACATCCCGAAAAGGAGCCAAAGTGGTGCGGGGAAGGGCTGAAGTGCTGCTTGGCCAGCAACTACGAGCCAAAGAAAGCTCGCAAGCTCGCAGCACGAGAGATCGGTTTTGAGGATACGGACGCCGAGGAGGCAGGGCCGCTTGCCGGAGGCAGGCCAAGTTCTGCAGGTTCATCTCTCAGTCTAAGGTTAGATGATTTCTACCAAGCCACTACCCCCCCCCCACTAGCTAAAGTGGAGGCAATATAGACTTTAGTGGCTATATATAGTGGTTGCATATCCCATAAAGCCTTGGGCGTAGTGGTATGGGGGTAGTGGAAAGCATCTGGGACTCGGCGCTGACGACAGAGAGCCTTGTGATCGGAGGCTCGGAATGGTTTCCAGCACGGGGCTTCTGGAAGGACGCCGCACATCATTCAAGATCCTGGGCGGCACCTTGGTGACGAAGGGCATTTGCTGTGTTCCTCATGAAATAGCTAAGTAAGGCCTGACTCATGAAGGGCGTCTATGTGGTGGTTCTGTGGACCGGAGGTGCCGACACCCAGGTCATGAATGCGGTCAAGAAGTAGAACTGCGGCAAGCTGGAGCAGCACGCCTTTAGTGTGACTGAGATGTGCCAAAAAATGAGAAGGGCACCTGATCGATCGCGTCAAGCCGGTCTACGTTGGCACCCAGAGGCGTCACGTCAGACAGGAACTGCCTCCGTGGCATCGGGGCGAGGGGTTTTGCCCCAGGCTGCGCCTACAGAGCTACATGAACGCTGGCAAGGTGGCGGATGTGCCCTTGGCCATCATCGGCATCAGCCGGAGACGATGGCGTTGATCACACCATGTTGGTGGCGGTTCAGCACGAAAAGAAGCAAATCCAAACTCAAAAGAGTCAAACCCAAAGGTCAAAAGGATCACATCCGAGAAAGGCTCAAAAGGGTCAAATCCAAACAAAAGCTCAAAAGGATCACATCCAAACCAAAGGTAAAAACTCAAAAGGGTCAAATTCGACTAACCACAAATTACTCAAGGATCAAAGCTTTGCGTTGGAAAACCGAACACCTCTCCAAACTTTCTGCACGACCCTTGCCTCGGCTTCCAGCGCGCTGCTGAGAGAGGCAAAGCCTTGGGCCTGCGTCAAAGCCATCCCTTGGCTCCTCTAATCTGTTTCTTTGTTTTGGGGGGGGGGACCTCCTTTTCTGGTGCATTTAAAAGGAAACCCAAGGGAAACCCAAGGGAACCCAAGGGAAGCCAAAGGGAAGCCAAAGGGAAGCCAAAGGGACACCGAAATCCTTTTTGGCCTCCCCGAAAAAACCAACACACCCATGTTCCGTTGGCCAGAAAGGGAGCACGACATGCGTGGCGATGTTGCTTTGCCGGTCCTGCTTACGCAAGACTTGAGTGCGCTTTAAAAAGTGAGCCGACTCTAATCTGGCTAAAACTCCAAAATCCTCCATCCGTGTATTTGAGAAAGAGTCCGGAAGCAGACTAGGGGTGCAGCGGCAATTTTCGTGCAAAAAGACCCCCCCTCTTTGGGGTTCCGTGTTGGATCATGCTGGACAGGCCGGGGCGCTGCTACGTTCGTTCCCTGCCTGCAGCTGCTGGTCGATGTAGCGGCACATGTCCGCCGCCACGCCACGCTCACCTTGAGGCCGACAAAAAAAAAACCATGGCTGGCAGCACTGGCACAGCTGAGCCAATTCCAAGTACAAAAGCTAAAGTGCAATCTGAGAAACACATTGCAATACGCAAGCTTCGGGGATGTCCCTAAACGTCTCCCTCAACCATGGAAAATGAGGATCTGTCCACTTCCATGATTGGTGGAAAGAGGATACCCTCCCATCCACAAACATGGACCCTCACAGGGCCATTTTCCTTTTGGTGGACGAGAGGGTACTGCTTCTGCAAACAATGCGTTTTGACTGAGCTTCCCGCGAGGGTTCAAGGGGTGGAAGTCCTGTGACAGGTTGAAGCTCCAAGCAACCCATGAATATACATGTGTATATGTATATGTATATATATATATATGTATATACATATATAGCTCATATATATATATATATATATTGTGACCCTCTGCTGATCTTATAAAGCACATAGGTCCACCAACCTTTGTAACTGTGTGTCCCAATTTTAGGACATATCAACCCAACTTAACCAGCCTTGCGTTCACCTTCCAGGCGCTCCAGAAGATGGCTGTAGGAGAACGCATCCTGCCAGACGCAAAGAAATGGCGTTCGTGCGACAGGGCGTTTGTTTCCCTCCGCGCCTCGCCGTGCAAAGCTCCTCCCTTTTGAGGCCTCACATATAACACTTGGCTGTGGCAAGTGATTTGCCCATGGCCAACTTTTTGGTGTCTTGCAGGCGCTTTGCTGCAATCTAAAATCATGGAACACGCGGGGCGCTGTTAACAGCCCCTGCCTATTTCACAGCAGCTCCCCTACAAACTCGCACCCTGCCTATTTCACAGCAGCACCCCTTGATACCAACTCGTCTCTGCTCAACCGGTGCAGTCCGGCATCTGCAGAGTCAAGCAGCGGCGGCGTCTTGAAAACTGGGTCTTGATGGCAGCAGCATCTGCTGAAACGCACGGCACCTGGAGGTCCAAAGCACCTGGCGCCCTGAAGAGCAAGACCTCCGCGGACGCATCCAGCTGGATGTCTTCCAGCCTCTGGAAAGCCGCCGACCAAACCTTCAAGGTCTTCCCCTTCTGCTCCTAGCGACTGGGCTGCTCCCCTGGTTAAAACTTGGAACAATTTGTGGGGGCATCTCGGTCGTAAGCAGTACGAGCCCCCCCTGAAATCGGCACCCAAGCCGACGGTCTATGAGCCGCTTTCTCCTGAAACATCATGCGCTGGCGGCATGGTTTCACCTACACAGCTTTGCGTGTTTGGTCCCTCCATCGGATGGTGTCCGCTTTGACTGGGGGCTTCGCCACATATTTTCTTCACTCCTCCCACTGGTAGAAGATGGCGCAGGGCTTGGCTTCCAACTCTGCTCCCTCGCCCAAGTTGAAACCCACCAGGAGCCGCCACACGGCCTCCCCTGCGCAGAAAACATGCCACTAACGGGAAACTGAGTGTGAGGGCACCCGACATGTCTTCAAACTTGTCTCAAGAATAAGGGTGCATACATACATATATCTACAATACAGCAACACACAGGCACCAAGGGGGGGGTAACAGATATATGTGTATATATAATGTATATAACATGTTGTACGCATGTTCATACGACTACGCCTGTGCGAGCCCTGCACCCTCCTTTTCCTCCGGGGCAACGGAAAATGAACGGCCATGACCAGAGCGAGATGTGTGCAACAATCATTCACCAACTTGCTGCAAACCAAGAACCAGGCATAGCGCCAATTCGGGTACCATCGCTTGTTCGGGTCTGGCGCTGTTACTTCACCCCGCAGGCAAAGCAGGCGGTTTGGTTGGTTTCGTCCTTGCATCCGGGGAGGTCACCCCGCAGGATCCCAAAGCATCTGTGGGCGTTTGGTCAGTTTGGCCCTTGCATCCGGCATCCGGGTGAAAATTCCCGCGTTGCGGCTCAGTGGGTCTTGGGTTGTTGACTAGGTCCTCCAGTAAAAAGGTTGGAACATGGGTACCCCTTTTTTCTGTAGTCTATTCTAGTAGGGGAAGGAACCCCCCAAAAAAGAAACGGTAAAAAAGGGCACTACTGCAAACACCTAGTTGACTTCGCCCAGCTCCGCCTGGGCCAAAGGCCTGGGCCACCAAGCACCGGCTCTCCAAGTAGAGCTCGTCACTCCGGCCCGTGAGCAGAAGCTCCGAGTGCAGCCGCAGGTGGATGTTGGACAACGGCACCACGGACCGAGCCTTGGAAGCTGAAGCGCTGAAGCCGGGATCCTTACATGACACCTGAACATTGCAACTTGTACATGGTGGTGTCCCTTTTTTTTGCTGGAAAAGAAAAAAACATGCTTCAAATGGGCAACACGTATCTTTTGAGGAGCCCTGTGAAGGGAACCCTGAAAACGAAAAGGTCACAAAAAGGCTACAGGTACAAACACATGTTCTTTCTTTGAGATAAAGCCATGGCGCCAGAAAGCAAACAAGTTGCTTCCGAATATTACGGCTGCCTATGTCTTTTGTGCACACAACCACCCAGTAGAAGCCTCAGCGCAACCGGATTGGAACATGAAACAAACATGCCCCCTTGTATCCCCTTGTGGTTCCTTCAAAGGATTGAAGCAATTCGGGGTATAAGGACAATTAGTAACCCTCACTGGCTTGTTGGCTTCATGTAGAGCCCGACAAAATTTCGCCCTTTCCACAAGGGCACTTCGGTGGCCTTTGCAGGGCCCACTGGCAAGAAATAGCCAAACCTCGAATTCCAGCCGCACTGGCAACCATACTTTGGTTTCCTGAAAAGGGCGTTGCCCAAGTAAACACGACCACAGAACCAGAGACACCAGGTCAATGTGCTTCTGAAGGGGAAGCTATGGCGGAAATGCCGAGGGTGGCATGGGCATTGTCGTGGTTGGGGCGAACGTCATTTCAGCACGATGAGCTCATGTTGGGCCCGTGAGCAACATGCATTGAAGGGTTTAGAGATGGGATTGGATTGGCCTTAAGCTAAACTCTGGGTTGACTCAGATTGGGTTTGATGCTGGTCAGGATGGACTTTGTTCGATTGATGTTTGGTTGAACTGGGTTCCGGGAACACCGTAGGCTAACCTCGTGGGGGCCTCATCGGAAGGGGGCTTCAAGGGTGAAACAAAGGAGACCAACTTCAAGAAAACCCATGGAGGGCGGTGGAGCGGGAATTCGTTGCATTGGGCGCAACAGAAAGGGTGGAGAGAGGGAAGAGCGGGGGTGTTTCTCGGATTTGCCAGCATCTTCCGCAGAGGAAGGCTGCCACAGCCCAGGCCAATGTTTAGCTCCACTACGCCAGGGGACATCTCCCCAAACCCTCCCAAGTCCAAAGGGGCTCCGCGTTCTATGTGCCAAAGCCGCATGGGTCATGGGTCATGACGATGTTTGCTCTTGAAAGCACTCGTGATGCTCATCTGGACGTCCCCCTCATTCTGGTGTCATTTAAACAATTGGGCAAAAACAAGAGCTTCTGAAAAGTTGGAACCCCCAAATGGGACTCCAGTTTTCCTTTTGGGGTTCCCTGAAAAACCAGCTCAAAAAGGAGGTCCAGGGCTGTGGGGGATGACCACTTCTGTGATACAACAGAAAGGGCTTAAGACTATTTTGTTCATATAAAGGGGGATTTGTATCACAGAAGTGGGGAGAAACCCTTTGACAACCCTGAGGTGCCCGCACAAGACGAGCCGCCCGCCTGCCGAGCCGAGGTGCCACGGCTTCCGCTCGTTGGAACACCTCGAGGCTCTCCTCCTGGCGCCCATCCAGGCGCAGGCGCGTGGCCAGCTGTTGCAGGGCCGGGACCAAGGGCCACACAGCCCAGTCCTGGCGATGAGTCTCAGGCCATGGGGCTTTTTTGGGGGCTGGTTTTGGGGGCTCGTTCTCAGGTTGCCTGTTGAAAACCCCGTTTTGGTGACATTCTATGGACTCGTCCTGCTGCCTTGTCAAAACGGTTTCTTCATCGCACAGTTCGTGTGGCAGTTGGGTCGCCAAATCTGCTTCCCGGGAGAATGACAGCAGTGGTTGAGTCCAAAGGGCATAGACTAAGACAGGGGGAGACAGTTTAAAGCAGCTCAACAAGTTGGGTCTCCACAATGAGAAGGAAAAATGAGTGAAGCCCCTTCGAACAAGGATAGTTAGTCATGGCTGCCAGAAGGATAAGTTGTGTTGATTTCAATGGCTATCTCTATCTGTGCTATGGGCATGACCATCCTGACACAGAAATGAGGCCTGAGGGGTGAATCGGGAAATGTCTCGAATGTTCGGGTGATGTCAAGCCATCGCAAGCCGGGGGAAGCGGACCGCATCAAAACGCAAGGCTTGGCCAAACGCAGCACTTGAGAAATGCGTGAGCAGCTAGGCTCAACCATCTCTGTTCACGGCTTTCCGCTTTCAACCAAAGGAACTTTCGAGCAATGAATACTTCCAATCTCCTTCGGCCCGTCGGGAGCGGCAGCAAGCGCTGCCGCCTCGGCTTCCGCCACGATGCCTTCCAGTTGGGAGACCTGCCAGCAACTCGGACCAACGACCATTGGCCGTCCTCGCCTCTGAAAACAGAGTGGCCAAATTCGTGGGTTGCTGGCCAAGATCGAGCCAAACACGACTGGGCAATCAGCGAGAAGGACAACACGCCTGCCCGCTCCGCGTTCTGTGTACCCTTGGATCCCTTGTGGATAGCCAACCCAAGGCTTCCTACAGTATCAGGGCTTGTGACCGGCTTATTGGTCGCTATCAAGTCATACGGGCAATTCCACGTGGTGTGTGGTGCAGTTGTCGACAACAGCCAATTGAAATTACTATGCTGTTCATTATCAGTGCTCATGGTTTGCCAACCTCCACATTGGTTCATATTGGTTCATGTAACTGAACAAAAACAATATCCATTTTACCATGGTTCAGGCGATTGGCATTGATCAGTCGCAGCCCAGGTGGCTGAATGGTGTCGGAGCCGAACCGTATTCTTATCACATAAACGCACAAAGCAACGCACAACTACACACACATACTATTTAAACAATATCTTATGATACTAGTATGTCATAGCATATAGCAACCATATGCATCGATTCAAATCTTATTAAAACAAAAATAACAACGTTTTGAAACCATAAACTTATAAATGTGATTGGCTTGGTTTGATAAACAAGAGTCAACACATTGATGTCAACATCTATCAATCCCAATTGAAAACAGGCATGGTTGTATTGTTCGAGCATGACATATTGCATGAAGGTGCAATGTAGAAAGTGGACCTAAATATTGGTACGAAGTGATGTGTTCTATTCGGCCAACGTTTGTGTTTGTTTATATGTGCACTGTATGTTACTGTGCAAGCATGATAATTCCAGTGCCCACTGCCAAGACAACCCGGACCCGCAAACAAATACAAAGACCCAATTTACCCTAAACCTCGGGCCGACGATTTCTCTGCTCAAAGACCATCCATCCATATCCATCCATATCCATCCCCAAAAAACGAAAAACACACACACAAAAAAGGGGGGGAACATGAAAAGAACCCCAAAAAACGCCCCACCCCGGCCCGGGCTCCTGCAGAGCGCCGTAGCGCGGGTGGAAGCTCGGCACCTCCGAGCTGTAGAGCCGCCGCCAGGGCTCCAGCGGCTCCGCCTCAAGGGCCGCTGGTGGGGGGGGGGGGGGGGGCAGTCCCATCGCACCCTGTAAAAGGGTACGTGTCAAAATGGGCGGACGCCGGCGGTGGGTTTCCGTGTATACATGACCTACCAAAAAAGGATGAACTAGATCCTCCAGTAGAGAGGTTAGACCAAGGGTACCCGTTTTTTTTTGTCTATTTTAGTGGGGGAACCCTCCCCCAAAAAGGGGGAGAGAAGGGCACTACTGGGGGACCTAGTCCAAATAGGCGGAGCCAACAAAATGTGGTGTTCCTGTCGGTTTCCTTGTATAAATGAGCAAAAAAAGGAGACCCAACAACACACACAACCGAAACTTCCAGGGAGTGCCATGAAAACTGCTGTGCAAGCCAAAAGCCCAAAGTTCCAGCTATGCAACCAGAGCTCTGTCTGGTCCTTCTGCATCTTGAGCTCAAAGAGGCAGCGAGGACAGCCACAGGTGAAGCCAAAGAGATCACTTAGCTCCTTGCGCCGCATCTCTACTGGCATGCGGATGTCGCAGTAATACTGCGTGAGCTCCTCCCCGGGTGCCACATCCCGGCCCGCTCTCAGAAAGACCCAATCTGCCAGCAGGACCTTGGCCATGTTGGGTGCGCAGCTGTGGTTGAAAAGGGAGGCCAAGGGGAAAACCCCGAAGTTCTCATGGCGCTCCTCCTCGCGGATTTGATCCATACTAAACGCATACTCGCTCACAGGCGCGGAGCATCTGTATGCATTTAGCGCCACCTTTCTCTGCATTTGCCGCAAAGTGATGGTCCTTCCTTCGCTTCTTCGCAGGTTTGCTGGCCAGGAAGGGAGCGGGATAGGCTTGGGGAACTGCTTCAAGTCATCATCGTCGCACATGAAATCAAGCCGCTGCCAATCCAGTGCCTCCTGGCCATCTGAAAGCTTTTGGAGCCAAAGATGTCGTTTTTGAGTAGCTGGAACGGACCAAACTTAATTTCATCCAAGTTGGCAATGCCTCTCGTCATGCTGGCAGGGTCCCAATTGGTGCTATGCGCCTCCTTTTGCTAGGCCACGAGTGACATGCACGAGCTTTGCAATATTGATGCAGGGAAGGTCCAACCAGTAACATGCATGACTCACGTTGGCTCCATTGTCGCCGTCGTGTTGCGGCAATATCTCGTCCCTATGAGCCCCATTACGCATATCGTTGTCTCGGTATCGCTTGTCCAGCCATGATGAATATGCATTCCACACAGAATAAAGCATCAAAAGTGCAAAGCAAAGCTGGCTGAAAAGAACAACTCGGTGACATGGGCTGACCGAACAAAAGACCCAAAACAGGTCGGACACAAACTGAAATATGTTCTGGCCCCGTGACAGCCTGGTCAGGATCCTCTTGGTGTCACAAAGCCCCACTACCACGCCTTCCACCAGACAACACGACCACACGCTGGATGATGACTTGTGTATGTGTATATATGTATACACATAGAGCTCTATATGCATATTTGCATGTATGTGTATATATATATATATATATATGTGTAAGCATACATGGGGAGGGGGTCTTAGCATATATATATATATATAATGTACCAAATGACTCACCCATGGCCCCCGGTCCATGTGTGGCTGCGCGTCGTGCAGCCGCTGGCCCAGCGCCTTCTCCGGCGCCACGTTGGGCGGATCGAGGCACCGCTCCGCCAGCAGCAGCTCCCCGGCGGCCAAGGGCGCCGCGGACACCACGCCCCGGTCGCCGTCGCGGTCCAGGCACCGGACCTGGGGGGGGGGGGGAGTGGGGGGGTGGGTGGAGTGGGTGGAGTGGGTGGGGGGGAGTGGGTAAGTGGGGGGGAGTGGGTGCGAAGGTTTTTTATTCCTTCTTTTCCTATCATTCCCCATCACCACCTGAGTCATACTCAAAACCAATATTGAAATGGTCTGCCCACAACCATGCAAAGAATTAAGACGGCGGCAACTAATTGCTGGGACTTTCCCTTACTAACCTTCATCTATCTGGGTTTTGAATATGGCTCAGGTGGCTGTGGCTCAAATAAATGTACCAAAATGGCACCTTGGATGGGCCCAAAGACTAAAACCTGCGCCCTAGCTCTTAATTTTCAGCCACACGCATAATATGAGTTCCCCAAAGCCTCGCAGCGGCTCACTGCGGGCTCTTTTGGAGCACAAGTTAAGGGTCTTTTGCGCAGGAGAATGAAATCTGCGCATGCTCTGCAGCACACCCAGCGACACCAGATGCGAGCAAAACACAAGTGAAAAACCCAAGCCACCACAAGAAAAGAAATCGCTGCAGTCCGGAACCCGCGGGGCTGGCGAGCTGCGCACTGTCAGGCGCCGAGGCAGCGGCAAGGCCAACCCTGCGACGCACCGCGCAGGTCTCTGGGCGCACGCGATGGCGCGCAGCTCCTGCAACAATCGCTTGTGCTGCGGGGCCTCTGTTGTGCACGTTGCAGACTGGCGCCAGAGATGTGGCGCAGGAGTGTGGGCAGCTTGCGCGCCCCAGGCCCGGAGCACTGGAGGACCATGGGCCGCAAGCGGATAGGGTCCGCGCAGCCGCACTGCACTGGGCCAGCTCCGAGAGGCTCTCCGTCCGCAAAGCTGCCACAGCAACGTCAAGTGCGGCCCCATGAGGGCACAAAGAGATCAGCAGATCAGAAGGGGCACCTTGTCAAGGATTGCTAGAACCGACCTCGAAATTCTGCACCGAACCCTCCCCGTAACCAGGTGGGAAGAAAGAAAGGCCGGTCGAGGAAGCAAACTACGAGATCTGGATGACCAAATAGTTTCAGAGCTGAGACGGAGGAGCAACCTGAGGAACATGATAGGCAAGTGGCGATGGTGACCCCGCATTGTCAGTCCTGGTCACGAAGAGCTTGCAGCGGGGGGAAAAAAAAAGAAGAAACGGTCGCCGTCGCCGCCAGTAACACAAGCCGCTGAGTGAAAGGAGAACTTGTCGAGCACGGAATCGCACGGGGGCATCATAGTCAGAGTTTTCTGCTTGTGGAAATGCGGGAGAGCAGCATCCGGCTTCAAATGGTCGGTGCGAGGTCAAGCTCGGAACAAGCCGCAAACAAAATCAAGGTGCCCTCGAAACAAACGAAGCAACAGCTGCTGTTGCTGTAACTAGGTTTGGTGTTGGGCCTTGGCTTTCATTTTGTGTCTTTGTTTTGCTTTGGTTTTGCCCAAGGGATGCGGCTGGGCGAAACATCGGAACAATCGTGTCGCCGGATGCCTCCAAGGACTCGTGCACAAAGCCGCGGAGCTGGGAGAAGTCGCCTGGCTGTGTGGCAGGGCCCAGGTTGACCGTGAGAAGTGAAGTCCACTTCGAAATCACCCGAATATCCAGCTTTTGGGGATTCCTTTGACAAGTCCTCGGATTCATCCCGCACTTTGTTTCCGTGCGTTCTCTTACATGACGAATCGTGTCATGAAGCAAAAACAGTACCCGCCTTGCCAAACTCGCTCCCAATCAACGTCGGGCCCATTGTGCATGGCTGCAAGAAGGACATTCAAGACGACAAATTAACTCTGCGATTTCTGTGCTTCTTGTCCGCAAATATCTGGGTTAAACCTAAGCTGATCACTGATGGATTGGGGTTCCTGCTCAGCTACCAACACATTTTGGTATGCATGTTCCTCCACAGGCTGTGTTCCCCCCCCCCCGGCTCGCTTCGGCACCTTTGGCCGATCTGAGCCCAAAGGATGCCATTGCCCGCGCTTCCGACTTCGTCACACTTCGCCGGACTCGTCAACGAACAAATTGGCGGTTGACTGAGGCTGCTGGGTTTTCTTTTCGCTTCCGGTTCGGGCTCCTTTATTCCTTTGTGGGTGCTTTGTTCGTTCGCTCGCTCCGCCCTCCGCCACCAGGGTTAGTACCGCTGGGGTAGTCGTCGTCTTTTCTGAGCTCCCGACGCCAATCTGCAAACCTGTGACACCTCTTCATCTGAAAGCTCAGGAGCTGCCTCAATGGCCACGCCCGGTTTCCTTTGCGCCATGGCGGATCCTCCCTGAAAAATCTGGAGGAATCTGGAAACGCTGATTCCCAACCACAAAGACCATCTGTCCCGATTCTCAATCTCAAACTCCTGGGCCATATTTTTTTAAAATCTTGGATCCCCTGTGGCGGCCCAAAACATAAAACGCGTTTGCCCCGAAACGTCCCTGTCTCGCCCTGGCCTCGCGCACAGCGCCCGCCAGGGCGCTGTAAGGCAAATAAACCTCTGGGGCATGGCCTAGCAACGCCATGGCGAAAGGAACAGAACACGGCCGCGCCTTTTCTCGGAAACTCGTTTTTGTTTTTGGCTGGCTGGGTTTTTTGCCGGTCGCAACTTTGGAGGACATCTCAAGTTTGTTGGCTGCCTCCCAAGCCCTCCGCCCCTTTCTTGATTCCAAAAAAAGAGAAGTGGCCCACTTGGTGGCTTGGTCTACGCCTGCCGTACCTGTGCAAATAAGGACCCCTCCTAACATGTTGGTTTCCTTCGTGGCTCTCTTTTTGGAGCCATCCCAATCCCCTGGCTCCGATGCTCATCTGCCGTGGCAGCACCATGCAAAGCTGCGCCACCGGGCGGAAAATCGCCGCGCGCAGCGCGTCTCCGCGATGTAGCCGCCAAAGGTGCGTGCACGACCTTTGCCCAGCCGTGTTGCTGAGTAGCTCTCAGGGAAAGTACACATGTCATCCCTTCAGCGCAACGGGTGAAAAATGCCTGTTTCGCGTGAAGAGTTGATGTTGTTGACTTAGACTTGGTCTCGGGGGCGCCGTCGACATATTATCTGCATGGGGCCCTGCCAAAGCTGGCACACGCGTCTCAAATCTCCCAGGTCCACCCAGCAAGTCTCGCTCTGTCATCCGTGTCCGTGTGAATTTCCACTTACCCTTGAAGCTGGCCCCTCCGTAGCGCGTTTAGTTCACGCAGCACCCCGTCCTGTTCCCCTCCCAAGCAATGGTTTCGTTGTTTTGCCGTGTTGTCCGTTTTGTCTGTCAGAATTTGTGGCCCGTTCCAAATGAGTCTCTTTTCCTGCTGGACTTTCTCGTGGATCTTTCAGACTTCATTGTAGCTGTAACTCACCTTAGGATTTCCTTGC